CAAATAATCTGGCGTTTCTATGTTTAAGAAAAAAAAAAAGTTCCGTTTCTATCGAAGAAAATCGAAAAAAACAAAAAAACAAAACAAAAAAAAAACACTGACGGTGAGAATAATCGGCGTTGCGAAAATGCAAGAAATCTGAGCTTTTAATGCAAAGCTAATAGGAAACGTATTAATATTCTGCAATTTACTTACTGACTAGCAGGATAACCCGTTTTCGACCGGGTGTTTCATTACTGGGAGTTTTTGCCTTTCAATTGGAGCACTTTAAGTTTAAAGTCAGCCCACTCGAAAATCAATGTTAGTAAACAACAAATGGGTGTAACTGAAGCACATCCCCAAATTGTAGCGGGGTAGCAATTTGAATGAGATTTTTTTTTTTTTTGCGTTCTCAATCTTTCAAAGAAGGAACCTCTTCCCTAGACCATCATAATAATAATATACCATAATTTTTCTTCATAATATAATTTTTTTTATAATTCTATAAGCTTTTGCGTTAGATTTCAACTCTCTAAATTGATTGTACGCTGTTTTTTACAGACATTAAATCTTGCCTTTGATTTTTTTCCACAAAGTGTAAAAATTCAGTTTTTTTCGATTTTTCAGCTTCAAGGTTGTAATTTTTCTTAGACAATTTGGACTCTTTCAACCAACACTGAAGAATTATCTTTCATACAAAAAAATTCATCGAAATCAGATGCCAACTGTGAAAACGCATACACAACATTCGATCACACACGCATGCATACACACACATTTTGAGAATTATAGATATCATGATCATTATTGAATTCAACGTATTGACCGATCAGTTCACCCGGCTTCTTAAAGTGTACACTGCATCCAGTCAGTTAATTTGAAGTTTTGAGGCTCTTGTTTGTGAATTATCTCATTTAAAAAGTCAGTGACGAGAAGCAAAAGACAGCGTGAAACACAAACACCAATGGATACAACGTCCACCTTAAAAAGGTCGGGGAACAGATCGGTTAAAACGTTCGGATTAAAGAACAAACAGGATAATAAGAAAGATTTGTAGAATTAAACTGACAGGAATTGGTTAGAATTTAGTGAGAATTTGGATAGAAAAATACTAATAATGATGATCAGAAAAAATATTAGTCATGGCAGTAATATTAATGTTCTTGTGATTGAAACTCAGTAAACAGAATCTAACATAGAATATCGAGTCATTATTGGACAAGAGAAAGAAGCATAACAACTGAAGAAGCGAAAAAAGAAAAAAGAAAACTAAAAAACAAAGTGGAACCACCACCTTCGGTTTTGAATAGCAAAAACAACAGACACAAAGCAATAAAACCGACCAACAATTTACAAAAAAATAAAAATAAATATAAATAAATATAAAATAAAACACAAAAGGAAATATGAATGTAGAAAAGCTATGAACTTGAAAGGGGCGATCGATTACTTATTTTTAATCGAAAGAGCCATAAGTGATTTTTTTTTCAAGAATCGAAAGGTGAGTGAAATGGTTGTGAAGAGGGATACGGGGTTTGAATGAAATCAAAATGGCGCGAAATCACACCGGAAATGATGGCCATTTAGGCGGAACTGTATGAAAAGAATCGCATTCGGTGACTGGTTTTTTAATATTCCGTTGCAGTTGCGTCAGAATTATGCGTGTGAAGGGGCACGGTTTGCCTGGCAGGAAATAGATTCGCCAATGCAATCGTCTACAGCTAATGGAGAGAGCAGCCTGAAAGCAGGATAGATTCATGCATAAATATACCATGATATATGAAGGCATGCATAGACAAGCAAGAAATAGATCTCTCTTCCTCTCTCACACACACAAGAAATGATAAGCACAAAAGCTTCTTCGAACGTTTCCTGTCATATAAGCAAACTAATGAGTTCGAGCTTCACCGAGTGATTTGTTACTACAATCCTGTTATATTCGGTGCTAAGGGAATAAATACTTAACATCAGGTGGATAATAGAAGAAAGGTTTATTGTACACAACAAGTACAATATGAAATACGGTACAGTTATACACACAGGTCAATCTAGTAGTGAGGGTCACTAATTGGAAAGTCAGACATGCTTGCGTCCCCTCTCTCTCACTCTTAATATTTAACAACCCGCACCACATGAGGGATGTATGTGGCACAAGGCTGAGTTTACCGTGGGTTCTCCGAGTCCGTAGGCTCGGACAAAAATATTCCCTTAGAACCCGCATAAGCGTGTTCAGGGTCTGTCTACCTCCCTGGACGAAACGTTGCCCTTCGGCAAAGCCTCGTCCGGGTTCCACTCTGTTTAAGGCAAAGAGTTCGACAGTGAAGAGCAGGAGAGAGCACTATTCTCTCTCTCACTCTTCTTGCAGTCTCTCGTAGACAGTTGACTTTATAGGCACTTACTACCTATAGTGTAATCATTCATGGGGATGACTGGTTATTCCCATTACATCACAGACTAAGCTAACATTGGTAAAAATAAAGAAAATTCGATACAATTTGCAAAGCTGAGATGCTGACGAAACGCTGAGGCGATGAGTAACTTGCCAACCTTCTTAATACAAACAATAACCAAATGTACAATCAGTACCGAAGAAAAAAAACAAACACGTTGATTTTTTTCCGTTAGGATAAATGTTATCCTAACAGAATTGGACAAAAAAAAAAAAAAAAAAAAAAAAAAGATTGTCTACTTATAGGGAGAAGCATCTGCAAAAGAAACATAAATCCATTACAACGACGAAGACAACAGCGTGTTATTTAAGACTTGAAGCAAAATAATCATTTGAGAGCAACGAAAGAATTTTTCGAAACGAAGGAAATTTATGATCAATATATAAAACGCCATATCCATTCAATCACCTCTCTCTCAACACAAAAGAAACAATCGATCTTTTGAAGAAAACTCATTATAAAAAAAAAAAAAAAAAAACTATAAAAGATCGATTTAAAAATTTAAAAAAATAAATTCAACACTATTTACATAATTCGGACTATTGTCCTCATCTTTGTTCCCATATTTATTACAACGTTTCGACCTTTCAGTATCTGTCTATTTTTCTGAGATGAGGTATTATGTACATTATTTACATTATTTGGACTATTGTCCTCATCTTTGTCGCCATATTTATTACAAGGTTTCGGCCTTTCAGTATATTTCTGAGATGAGGTATTATGTACACTATTTACATTATTCGGACTATTGTCCTCAACTTTGTTGCCATATTTATCACGTTTCAGCCGAGATGAGGACAATAGTTCGAATAATGTAAATAGTGTACATAATACCTCATCTCAGAAATATAAACAGATACTGAAGGGCCGAAACATGATAAATATGGCAACAAAGATGAGGACAATAGTCCGAATAATGTAAATAGTGTACATAATGCCTCATCTCAGAAATATAAACAAATTCAACAATTAAAAAAATTGTCATTTTTGCTTCTTTTCAAATCCTTGTTATGAATTTGCTCTTAACTTTGGACTTATTTTCCCAACGAATTTAAAAAGATAACAGTCAAATTTTGGATAATTCCTTTTCTACCCTCAAAAGATTTCTGGGTTTGATCAATTGTTGTTGATTGGGGTTATGCTAGCGTTAGTGATCTCCATTGCCAAACAATGTTTACTGGCTCTAAATTTAAATTTTGTCATTACTATCGTTCAAAGCGTTCGTCTCTCCTTCCACCTCAGATTATCACTTCCAACTTGTCTATATTTAAAGGTTAGTAAGACAATTTGTGCATTATCAAAAAAAAAGTTGGTAAAAATGAGAAACTTGATGAGATAATTTACACTTTACAGTAAATCTCGGCTGGCTCATCCTAGTTTGTTTGTTTGTTTATGTATTTATTTCAAGGAATGCCCCTCCCTAAACCTTAGACAGGCAACCCCAAAAGTAATGGCATACGAGAGCCGACAATTGGCGTCAGGTTCAAACAGATTAAGTTGGTTCCAGTAAAAACTGTTTAGTACTTTGTTCGGGCGACGGCGGAAGCTTCGTCAAAGCCTCTTCGTTTGTGCAAAGAGACGGAGGATCCCAAAAGTGCGTGGGCAGGTAGGCCGTATTTGCCGCCTTCTGACTCCAGTCGTTTTTTTTTTTTAGATTGACAAAAAAACAAGAAAAACAAATAGAAATAAAAGTGTTTTGCTTTGCAGAAAATATGGGAAGGAGAGAAAATAAATAAAAAGTAACGGGGAGATGAAAACAAAAGCACAAAAAGAAGGGAGATAAATCAAGCGAATGATGATGTATTTAGCAAATACCGAATGCATATTTACGCTTATAGGAAAGAATTGCGCTCAAAGCTACAATAATATTTCGCTATTATAAATAGAAATAGCCACAAGAAAAAAAAAAAGATTAGCTTTCCACAACTTCCTCTCATTTGTAATGTTTGTCCTCTTAATATCAGTCTTAATCCCTTTTCTGTCATTCATTTACACACACGTTATATTTACCTATACTTTACTTTACCTACTGGATTTTGATATCTTCTAAACGTAACTGACATCTTGAATTATTTCTGGCTGATGACCAACAACTGTGTCTTCTTACAATTAAGAGTTAGTCATCTCTTCTCGCTTCCCCGCTCTATCTACATTAAATGTTCCTCTCATTTTGTGTCTAACATCAAGATTGTGTCATTTGCATATATTATCTTTAAGATTTTGTCTGGCAATAATAAATTCTGGTAGCAAATCTAGCAACGTCATGAAGAGAGACTCCGTTCAAGTCTTTGCTGGTCTCTCCATGCAGGTTCCGTTTTTGATTCCGTGTCAGACAATAAATTTTCACTATTGTAAATAGAAATAGTCACAAGAAAACAAAGATTAGATCGCTTTTAAAGCTTACCAGAGATCAGTTCTGAAGTAAATTATGACAACTTCCGCTTTCAACAGTGTAACTCAAGATTAACAATTACGACTCAACCAAGCCTTGCCAGACTTCAGTTTTCCTAACAGCAAGATGTCACAATTGATGAACCCGCAAGATGTCACAATTGATGAACCCGCAAGATGTCACAATTGATGAACAACAGGTGGTAGAGAGGGAAAACTGAAAAAAGAGAAAGAGAGAAAGAGAGAGAGAGAGAAAGAGAGAGAGAGAGAAAGAGAGAGAGAAAGAGAGAGAGAAATGACAAAAACAGTAAATAGAACTTTGAAAATACACAAAGAAAACTAACGAAAAAGTTAAGAGTAAAGAAAAAATTAAATAGAAGACAAAGGTATTATATGAAAGAAAGGAGTATTGATTTGTTAACCCTTTGATTCCTGAAAAATGCATTACCGGTGGTAGAGAAAAAAAAATGATGTAATGCCCAGCCACCGGTTGAAAAATGGTAGAGAAAAATGACTTAATGCCTAGCTACCGGTTAAACGGTGGGTAAACATTTGTAACTATGTTTATATCTACCGTAAAACATTACATACCAATTATTTGCAAATTTTGACTCAGGAGCCCAGGCGGGAGGGTTAAAATTGTTCATGAACCCAGGGCTCAAATAGTTAAAAAGAGTGGGAGGAAGAAAGAAAGAAACAATCAAACAATAAAACATAAAAAGAAGGAATAGAAAAGAAAGAGGGAGACAGAAGAGAAAATTGAGAGAAAAAGATAAAGAAATAAGGAGAGAGGGGAAAACAAAAAAGAATAAGAAATGTGTGCGAGAAAAAGTTAAGAGTAAAGAAAAAATTAAATAGAAGACAATGATATTATAAGAAAGAAAGGATTGTTGATGTGTTAACTCTTTGGGTCCTGACAACCGCTTTACCGGTGGTAGAAAAAATGACGTAATGTCCAGCCGCCGGTTGAACAGTTGTAGAGGAAAATGACGTAATGCCCGGCCACCGGTTGAACGGTGGTAAACACTTGTAACTATTTTTATATCTATCGTGAAACATACCAATTTGTGAATTTTGACTCGGGTGCTCAGGCAGGAGGGTTAAAATTGTTCAGGACTGCAGCGCTCATAGGGTTAAAAAAGAGTGGAAGAACAAAAGAAAGAAAGAATAAAGCATACAAAGAAGGAATAAAAAAGAAAGAGAAAAAGACAGAAGAGAAAATTGAAAGAAAAAGATAAAGAAATAAGGAGAGAGAGGGAAAACAAAAAAGAATAAGAAATGAGTGCGAGAAAAAAGTTAAGATTAATGAAAAAAATCAAATGGAAGACATTGATATTATAAGGAAGAAAGGATTGTTTATTTGTTAACTCTTTGAGCCGTGACCACCGCTTTACCGGTGGTAGAAAAAAATGACGTAATGCCCAGCCACCGGTTGAACAGTGGGTAAACACTTGTACTTATTCTTATATCTAGCGTGAAACATTACATACCAATTATTTACGAATTTTGACTCAGGAGCTCAGGCAGAATGGTTAAAATTGTTCTGAAACGCAGCGCTCAAAAGGTTAATATATCGCAATTACTGTGGTCATCTAAACGTTAGAAAATGTTAATTGACTACATCAGTCAAAAAAGTTGTCAGTCGAAACAATGAGCCAAAAGTGAACTGAAATGAAAAAGCAGGACCTCGACTAAGAAATATAGAAAATATAGTCATACACAGGTGTTGAAAAATTTGCCATCTTTCTAAAAGAACCTCCTAAAATGGTTGTGAATAGCGGAGGAAATAGTGTCTCTCTTGAAACTTTTCCCTTTAAGCAACAAGATGGAAGCCATTTTGAACAGCACCAAAGGCAAAATGTAATTGACAGAAATAGTTGTTCTCCTTTGCATAAAAATCGCTGACTTGCATTGCAACAGAAACTAAAAGAAAGTCTAATTTAAAAACACAAGTGGCTTCGGCTATTATATGTATATTGCATCCTGTCTTCAGAAATAATTTCATACACTTTTTGCATTTCCTCAAGTAGAAAAGAAAGATCACAGTTTAACCGCTTTTTTTTGTTTCCCTCCTTAACTAATTCATAAAACATTAATTTATCGTTATTAACTTTTTTTTATTAGTATTTACTTTCATCTTAGTGTATTTGCTTTCTATTGCAATATTATTCACTGCCAAGTAACGTTCCGATAAAACAAAAAAAAAAAAAAAAAAGATGAATATTAAACGATAATGAGCAAGGCAGATTTTATCTAATAACATTGCTTTCATACTTTTTTAATTGGGTTCAATAATCAACAACAGAAGACCTTAAATACTCAACAAATCTTTATTGATATGCCATACTTCTAAAGGCCGTGGAGAGCCATAGCTTTCCACAACTTACTCTCATTTGTAATGTTTGTCGCCTTACTGTCTTAACCCCTGTTCTGTCATTTATTGACATAAACTCGTTATGTTTACCTATGCCTTACTTTACCTACTGGATTTTGACTTGTCCCAAACGTAACTCACATCTTGGACCGTCTCTGGCTAATAACCATACATTGTCTGCCAATAATAAATTCTGGTAGCAAATCTAGTAACGTCACGAAGTGAGGCTCCGTTCAAGTATTTGCCGGTTTCTCCATGTTGGTTCCGTCTTTGATTCCGTGCCAGGCAATAACCTAAATTTTCTATTGTTTTTTTTGTTAAAGAAAATATTTCGCCGCTAGCCTTCAAATACCTTAAATCGAAAAACTTCCTCTAATTTTTTGTTGATAAAATTATTTGTCAACCACTACTTCTGAGAGGTCGGAGCACGCTAAATATTACAATATGTCCCTACTCAATGAATCCATATCAGCAAAATACCCAACCATAATAGCTGCCATGTAAAATTTATCTACTTAAAGCTATTATCTCCGCAATACTCGAAGAGCAGCTTCGTTATACTAATTCTATTGAAACTGAAATTTTATATAAAACTCAAGGAATATAATTTATAATGACCTTTCAGAATAAGAGCGTGATTATAAACGTTTGTTTCAGTATTGCAGTTTACGTGGTGGTTGTGAGAGGGATTAATTAAGAATTATCTAATACAAGTTATCTCCCCTTGTATCAGCAAAATTAATAAGGATCGTCCCCTCGCCACTTTCCACACAGTGGATTAAATAAAAGGTTCAGTTAAAATTTCGACAATATTACCGAATATTATTTCGACCGTTGTGCTCGACAACTTTTTCAGTACCAGTCTTATACCTAAAAAAAAGATTGAGAGTGCAACGGTCGAAATGGTGGAACTAGATGAAGAGAACAGTTCGAATAATCCGTTCTATAATAACTACCGTATTTGACGATGTATAAGAGGCACCCCAATTTCAGCAGGGCAAATCAATAAAAATTAGTAAAATTATTAGTAAATTATACAGCCTAGGCTATATTTATGGGATATTATTTAGGTTAAACAAGCCATGATTACAATTAAACGAAAAATAATAAAAAAAAGAACACCAGCCTATAAAAACTTTATAATATCCAAAGGTAAGAAAAAATAAAAATCAAGCAATTATTACAACTGAGCAAAACAGTACAGTTACCATTAAAATTTTATTCATCTTCAAAGCCATAAAATTCTTCATCTTCACTATTTACATTGTTCGGACTATCGTCCTCATCTTTGTCGCCATATTTATTACAACGTTTCGGCCGTTGTATGCTCCGGCCTTCTTCAAATGGGTGGAATGACGAACTGAACCCTTTATTTCATTCGCTGGGATAGACTGTTCTTAAGAACACATGGCACAGTGGATAAAGACGTTGGTTAGATCCAGTGACAGTGCGAGTTCAATTGCCATATTTTTCACAACGTTTCGGCCGTTTTACGCTCCGGCCTTCTTCAGGTGGTTGGAATGTCGAACTGAACCCTTTATTTCGCTCGCTGGGGTACACTGTTCTAGTTCCATGTGCCATGTCTAATGGATGTCAGTTATCTCCTGTTAATTCACCTCTCCAAGTTCTCCACCGCCTTAACCAGGCATTGAACTCACTGTCACTGGATCTAACTAACGTCTTTATCCATTGTGCCATATGTTCTTAAGGACATCAGTGTATGAATTTCTGGGATTTATAAACCTAATGTCTTCAGCAACCTTTTTTTTTTTTTTTACCAGTGCTCATATTGCAATTTTTGCTGTTATCATTGCAGATTTTTTTTTACCAGAGCTCACATTCGACACTCCAACCACCTGAAGAAGGCCGGAGCGTACAACGGCCGAAACGTTGTGATAAATATGGCAAAGATAACAATGTAAATAGTGTACATAATATCTCTGAAATATAGACAGATACTTCGTCGTCTTCGTTATCAAAACTCTGATACTCATTTTCAATACTACTATCATTGTCGTTGAATAATGCGTCATCTAATTTCGGCCGACTATCGCGAATTTTAAATCGACATATGGCATATAAGATGCAGGGGAATTTTAAAATATATTTAGAACAAAAAAGTGTCAAATACGGTACATAAATTTGTCTTCTCAGAAATTTAAAGTATTCAGTATTTTCTCCTAAATGAAAATGATATCGCTTTTATGTTCCACGTTCAAACGAATGAGAGACTTAATAGATAATATATTCATAAAAATAACAAGCTCGTTATGTAATCTAATTCGCGAGTTCGAGTGCCACAGAGTATCTCATTATTATGGCTGTGTGTTAGATGAAGCTAAGATAATGAAATATCTTAGCATGTCTGGTGGTTGGAGATTGAAACTGTCTTCCCTACCCCAGCATCAATGGACTGTGTTCGAATCAGGATAAAAGCTGGGATTTCAAATGTCGATATCCAGTCTACATTTGAGAGATTGTGGAAGTCTACCTTCCTAACTTGGGCCGGACTAAAACGGATTTCTCTTTTTCACACACACACACACACACACACGATAAATAGGTAAAGTGAGGATATGGAATGGTAATTACTGAAAGCTACGATAATTCTTCTTTTAGAAACTATTTGAAAAGTGGATGCGTGGATGTTCCTCTGAACTTAATTGCAGTTGAATAAAGACGGTTGACTGAGAAAATTCCTCACAAATTTCTTGAAATTTATGCGAGATTCCTTTTTTTTTTTTTTTTTAAATCTCATCTTATTTGTTTATTTATATTCTGCGGCCACTTTTAGACTTGACCGAAACAAGTGGCCACTCTCCGAAATACCACTTTAATTTTTTTTTTTTTTTTAATTCCTTTGTTCAGGATAGATTTTCAACTCTCTAGTTAAGAAAACACCCTTCGGTATGTCCACTAAGGAAAAAAAAAAAAAAAGTTTCCCCTGTCTTAAACCCCAAGAAGATGAATGGAAGAATTTTAAAATGGAAAATCTTTAGTTTTATAAAACTAGTTTCATTTTTTCTTTCATAGGCGCCATATTGCAGCTTTCCGTTGGGTTTTCTTTTATTTCCTTTATTTTATTTTCCTCTTTTCATTTTGTCTCACCTCAGTTTTCCTTCTCTTGCGTACTTGTCTTGATTTCTCTCAATTTTTCTTCATTCCCCCCTCCCCTTCATTCCATCCCCCGTTCCGTTTCACCCCATCTTGTTTTTAACCTCGATTAACCGATTTTCATTCTTCAAATGTGATTATTTTTTTTCTTCAAAAGATATATTTTAATCAGCAGTTTCGTTTCGTCGATTCCTCTTCAAATCTGAACAGTTTGAAATGGTTCTTGTTTTTGTTTTTCCAGAAGCACCAAGACTTCAAGAAATTCAAAGAACAAAAATATCGACATAGAAAAAAGATCTTTCTCTTACAGAAACACAAGAAATAAAAGAATTAAAAAATATATTCCACTCATGCAATTAATATATAAAATATACGTATGTGTTTATAAGACTATCTTAACTCCACCAAGATCATTATCAATGACGTGAAGTAAGTCCTCGCTGGATGCATCACTAGTGTAACATTTTGTGACAGAATAAACTATGTTTCGATGTATGTATAGCTGGCCACTCGTATTCGAGGATATCCGTCTACTAAGGCGGCTAGACAATCCCTATCGCAGACGCTTGCTCAGGCGCATTTTGTGTTTTCTCAATACCCACAGAGCCCACCTGTGGTTTATACTGCAACTATGTTGAGCAGACCTTAGTTACAGTTTCTGGGAAAGAGTGTTATCTAGCGTGATCAACAACTTGAACAAGGTCAGCACGCTCGGCCACGATGACTTGTGACTTCCTGCTAGTACAGCTATCAAATGTCCCCACGGATGCCATCTACCCATTTTTACTCACAACGTGTGGTATTGGTTTTCAGGCACTTTCCGCACGATGGGATCGACCTCGATCCATTCCGATAACATCAGGAAGTCTCCTTCATGACAAGTCGACAATGGTGAGATTCGAACCCAGGTTTCATTGTTAGAACGCGAACTCTCGACTCAAAGTTTTAATAATAAAAAGAAAAAATCCTCAATAAATATAAGCTGGGAAGAAGGTGAAGGGAAATCTGTATTCAAGCCTTTCTACCAAAGATATAAAAACTAACATGACCGCTGCTTGGGATTATTTGCCTATTACCAACTGCGGCTTTTCTCGATTCCCCAGTCAATGAACCAAATTCAAACCAAAAACGACTTTCAAAGAATATCTTTTTTTCAAGTTCTTTATGACACAAAGTGGTATTTCATCGTAGAAAATCCCGGCGAGGTGCTGCCAATTTAGTAACACTGGACAACTGTTTTACGTTCAAATATTATTCTATTAATCTTTCTTTCACTGGTAATGTACCTTACTAACATCTCATCAGAATCTGAGCAAAGTCAGAAATAGTAAACTATATCAAATTCTATGCAATGATAAGTGGTAATCTAAAAATACAAAAGAGAACTCAGAAATGGTTTGGTTTGTTTTACAGCATATCAACCTCAGTGGGTTATTTAATGCAGACAAAATTTTTTTATTGCCGGTAATGTTTTTTTTTTTTTTTTTCAAAAATGTATTGCTGCTAATATTTTTTCTCTTCAAAATTGTATGGCTGGTAATATTTATTTATTTTTTTCAAAAATGTATTGCAAGCAATATTTTTTTTACTTTTTTTTGTTTTTCAAAACTGTACCGCTGGTCATATTTATTTATTGATTTTTCAAAAAATGTACCGCTGGTAAGATTTATTTATTGATTTTTCAAAAAATGTACCGCTGGTAAGATTTATTTATTGATTTTTCAAAAAATGTACTGCTGGTAATTTTTTTTTTTTTTTACAAAAAAGTATTTCTGGTATTAAAATTTTATGGGTTTTATTTGTCCATAGCTGGGACCTTAACAGGTGCTATCACCCCGGGTCAGGGAGGACGTGGGAACACTAGCAATCAAGAGGTGGTTCCACGCTCCCCAAAAGCTCCTGATCAGAGGCCTTGCTGTCGGATGTAGTTTATCGTCTTACCCAGAACAGGAACTAAGGAGTGAAAAATGGAAATAAGCGAACGTTTTATTAATGACCAATACTAATTAGTGTGATGTCACTCGTTGTAATTGCCACAACTACACAAAATGATACTCTAATCCTACCAAAAATCATAAGAGAAGCAAATAAATACAAATGCTGAAGACACGAGACGTAAAATTCGATGATGCCAAAGTTTATGATCAATTTGTTAGAGACTGGCAACAAAATGTTAACTGCTTTTGAATTTGATTCAAATTAAATTTATTAAGCACGCAAAAACAAGTTTTAGATGTTATTTGAAGAATTAAAAACAATTGGAAAAAATAAATGGAGAAATTCGCGACTTAAAGTCTTTATTAAGGTTGAATTAATAGAGTATTTTTGAGAAGAATGCATATCGGATGAAATAATCCTTGCCCCCTTTGTGATAGGGAGTAAGAGAGAGAAACAGACAGATAAAAAGAGAGAGAAACAGATAAAAAGAGGGAGAAACGCATCTGGGAAATAAATCGAAAATACTATAAGTATAAAAAGTCAAATCCTGCAAAAAAAAAAAAAAAAAATATCAGTAAACCAAGCCTCGTTTTCATTGTGTTAATAACTCCACTCATTATATATTGAAAAACTCTTAAAAAAAGAGAATATGATGTTATCGGGATTTGTTTGGCAAACAAGATCATCCTTTTGTCACCGAAGCTGTAGTCGTTGCACTCATATGTATTCTTTCCACAATATCCACGGGTGAGCCGACATGATTAAAGCTGTTGTTGCTTCCGTTTCAGGACGTTTAATTATATTTTGTGATCAGAAGTCAAAAGCCGAATAACACCGGTAGCCTCGAGGGTGGATGCGGCATCGGCTAGGTGGCAAGCTGCTGGGTTGGGGGTAAGAGACATTTCATTTGGCATTGGCAACGCCTTTCGTCACAGGAGACATAGGGATAGATTTTTTTCTAACGTTTTTAGCTGTCTTGGTGGGATTCCAAAATGTAATCAAAAAGATTTTGTGTACAGCCGGAAGTTTTCAGTTAAAAAGTTCGGGACAGAAAGAGAGATATCGAGCGGGAGACGGGAGAGAGAGAGCGACAGAGAGAGGGAGACGGAAGGGAGAGAGAGAGAGAGCGACAGAGAGGGGGAGACGGAAGGAGAGAGAGAGAGCGACAGAGAGGGGGAGACGGAAGGGAGAGAGAGAGAGAGAGAGCGACAGAGAGGGGGAGACGGGAGAGAGCGACAGAGAGGGGGAGACGGGAGAGAGCGACAGAGAGGGGGAGACGGGAGAGAGCGACAGAGAGGGGGAGACGGGAGAGAGCGACAGAGAGGGGAGACGGGAGAGAGCGACAGAGAGGGGGGAGAGGAGAGAGCGACAGAGAGGGGAGACGGAGAGAGCGACAGAGAGGGGGAGACGGGAGAGAGCGACAGAGAGGAGGAGACGGGAGAGAGAGAGAGAGCGACAGAGAGATGCCAAGTATTTAATAAACGACCGTAAAATAATTTTGGTAGAATACGAATGCAGACAGGAATTCGGAAGAATAAAATTCAAATAATTCGCGAAATCAAGAATTGTTAAATTGCAATAAATAAAATAAAAAGATATAAATTTTTACTGTTACACACACAAAAGTTTCATTTTTGTAGAAAATGTTATTCCAGCAAGTTGCAAAAATAGAATGCTTAATTATTGTTATCTAATCGTGGCTGAAATTATGCACAAGGTCAAGAATATGGAGCACCTAGGGAGGTTCGAAGTCACTATCCTTCATCCTGTGAGACGAGTACGATAACCTCGGAGAAGACATCGAATTACGTTTTTTTTTTTTTTTTTGCATTAGGATGAGGAAAGTGTGAGAAAAATGGACGAAATTTCAGAAAAATGTTATCTGTCGGCTTTGCATTTCCTGGCAAACTCAGATATTTATAATTACTGCTAATATTGTATTTTAAAAATACTTTATTTCTTCCATCACCAACATAAACTTCGACAATGACCAAGAGAAGCGGATTCCTTCTCAAGCGCTTAAAGCCTTTGGAGATTACCTTTAAGTTAAAGGTAATCTCCAAATGTCAATTCTTATCGTAAGGGCGGTTTCGTCACGGCCTCGCGTCATTTACAAGAAGAGTGAAAGACTGCAATTCAAAAGAGATAAATCAAATTTTATACTAAACTAAAAATTGAACAAAATTCCGGCGATGAGTAAATCTTTCCGCCTTTATCAATATTACCCGTGTCGTCCGAATACTAATTTAGTATGGATCAATTAAATTCTGATCGATCGCTGAAAACAATTTATCACTTTGTATTTTTTCTAAACAATCGAGAGAAATTGCGGTGTGCGGCTCAGCCGGTTTTCAAATCCACGTGCACGCAATTGTTTAAACGCTTTCAGTATAACTTTGGGCACGTGCACCTTGTCATCAACGGCTCTTCAGCTCCATGTTCTCATCAACATACAACGAGGGTAGGGGACCGGTAGAGGGTGGTGGTAACAGGAAAAAAAAAAAAAAAAAGGGAAAGGCATAGATTTAAGAAAAATGTATCAAACGTCAACTTAGTTATCCAAATGTTTTTCGCAGCGGGGGTGGGTCAGATATTTATTTTCTTTCTTTTTCTCCTTCCCTTGACATGTTTAATCGCTAAATTCTCCAGCCCCACACCTTTTTTCCTCGCGTTCGCCGACTTCCATTCTGTTCGCTTGTTTTTGCCGGATATATTTATTATAACCATTTTCTTTACATATTACTTTTTTTTTTTTTTAACACCTCAATTCTTCCGTTAATTTTTCCGTTTAAAATTTTGCCAAAAATCAATTATACATTTTTTTAAAGTTTATTTTAACAAAATTAGAAATTTTAAAGTTTATTTAATATATTTTAAAACAAACATTTCTTTCTTCATGCGCCGAAAAAATGTATTTTAAAAACAAGAGACAACAGGAAAGCGGCGACGTGCAACTATGTGATGATTGATGCATTCAGCTAACAGCTTACTCAAGGAAAAGGTTTCGTACGGAAGGAAAGAAGTGATATAATTTAGCTATTTATTGAACCAACTTATTTACCTCGTTATTTTTAAGAAAAATTTTAAAACTAAGACTGTTGAGAGTGAGATAAAATTTCATAAGAAAAGTAGAAAAAATTAATTAGGTACCTTTTCCTATGAAAGGTTAAGTGTACATAATTTAATATACATTTATTACATATTTCACGGTATTATTTGTATTTTCACTCAGTTTATTAATTTTGACATTTCATTCATGGAAAAATGTCATAACTGAGATAATATAAAAATAAGAACATATAAATTTCATAAGATAGGTACATAATACTTTAGGTACCCTTATCTGAAATATTATACAATTTTTTTTCTCTTTTGTTAATTTTTTCAAATTTTTTCAAAATCTTAATATGTCTATTGAAAAGGCAATTTTTTCTCATAATTATGTAATCACATACACTTTTTATTTTATTTATTTATAGCCAAAAAAGAACAGAGGTCTAGAAAGCAATGCAACTGGTATCAGACTGGTCGTCACTTTTTAGGCTATAGTTTAAATTTTTTGTTTTAAGTAAAACAAAACATCAAACATTTCTCTGTTCTTATTTTGTTCTTTCCTCTTAATAATAACAAAAACATTTAGACGATAAAATTTTGTTTTCGTCAAGTATAAGGCGGCAGTTATCCTGCTATGCTCATTTTCCAGCGATCTCATTCCAGTATCTATTTAAAATAGATAAAACTTGTCTATATTATTTAAATGAAACATATATATATATATATATATATATATATATATATATATATATATATATATATGTGTGTGTGTGTGTGTGTGTGTGTGTTAAATAATTTAGACGGATTATGTATATTTATTCTATTTTAATCCTTTCAAGTCCATGAATTAATTTCTTGCTGGCTGTAGAAAATTGATTAAGAAAAATTCCAAAATTTTCTTTCAAATAATTTTTATTTTCCCCAAGTACTTTCAATCTCATCTGAGACCATCTTCAGTGGTTGCATATCTATGGATGTGTTAACACCGTAAATTCAAAATATTTTTTCATTGTTATGCAAGGGAGATAACTTATGTCATTTTTTTTTTTTTAGAAAAGATTTAAATGTTTATAATATAAAAGTATTATATAAAAATAAAATACTAAATTAAAATAATGAGTGTTGACTTCAATGTTCACTTATATATTTACATACGTTCTATCTCTGATATTGAGCACTTTATCCCAGAAATATAGCACACCTTAAAACACACACACACATATATATATATATATATATATATAAAAACATTGTTAAATATAACAGAATGTCTTGTTTGAACACGATTCGTTCTAAGCTTTGTATAGTGGCTTTAGTTTCGAGAGAAAATATTGACAAAATTTGTCCAACATTTGGATATTTTTTTTATTATGCTGTTCCTCGATCTAAGGTTTCGGCTGACATGAGCCATCATCAGGGTGGTTATATGGGCATTAAAACAGATGTTCCTCATCCAAGATAACATCCTGTTATGTTTACAAAATTAAATTTCAAAGCAGCCACAAAATTTTACTTTGCATCTAAACACATGGTTCTGTTGATAACATTTCTTTCTATCACGTGGTAATGTGCGATGTCACAGAACCGCATTACGAATTTACGACCTGCGTCTGGTATTCCGCGACCGTTATTGTTGCATAGCAAAACTAAGATAACAGGATATCATCTTTGATGATGAATATCTGTTGTAATGTCCATATAATCAATCTGATGATGGCTCATATGACCGAAAGCTTAGATCGAGGAACAGCATAATAAAACTATATTCAAATGCTGTACAGTTTTTGTCGTCTTTATTTTCTCCTGAAACTAAAGTTACTATACGAAGCTTAGAACGGCTCATGGTCAAACATAATAGAAATTCGTCGTCTGTAAAAGACAACATATGTTTAACAATATATGTTAGAATAATGATCTGCTGCTCCAATACACACAGCCATTTTATAGTGTCTTATTTTATATGCAACGTTTTGGTCTGTTAGAATCAATCATTTTACACTGACGACACCAGGTGCCCGCGTTTTTATGATAATGGAAAACTGTCCAAAAATATCCGATATATACGGAGTGTCCACAAAGTTCGTGTGCACTTTAACAGATTTATAACTTTATTTGTATTTGCGATAGAAATAATTTGTAAAAAGGATTAGAAAGAAGTAAATCTATATTTTTTAAGGTTTTATTGAAATTTTATTTAAGTTTCCACATGTCCTCCATCATTAGCAATACAAAGGGTAATACGTTTTTGCAGTTCACGGAAAATATTTGCCAACTGATTTACAGTAATGCCTGAAATCACATTAGTTATTTTAGCTATACTTAAAACTAGGTACATTAAGCTTTATAACATTTTTTACATATTATTTTTAATCGCAAATACAAATAAAGTTATAAATTTTTAAAGTGCACACGAACTTTATGGACACCCTGTATTTTAAAAATAAAGACTAAAAAAAAAAATGTAACATTTTATGCCTCAATTCGTGATCTTTTCAACTCCCCCACTTTCAATGCTAACATCATTTTCTTTTCATGTTTTGTAAGAAACTCAAACAATTGGCTCATTATTTTCGAGGTGAGCATGAATATTTACCCAAAATATTAAGTTGCGCATGAAACTTAAAATTGCTTCATTCTTCATATTCGGGTTTTTTAACGGTATTATTCTAACAAAATTCTCACTACGATGTGCCGTTTTTGTCGCGTCACGGTAATAAACAGACCAAAAAAGAGAAATCGGATAATTATAATAGAGATCGACCAGAATAAAACGCTAGAAATTGTGAAGTAAATTTCTAAAATGATATTTTTAAACAAATATCTAAAAAAAAAAAAAAAAAAAAAAAACTGTAAAAATAAA